AGGGCGGCACCGCGTAGCTCGGTGTTTCAGCGTGGCCGGCGTGTCCACGAGCCTACGTGATGGCTGCACTGTGTAGCTTGGTGTGTCAGTGTGGACAGCGTGTCCACGAGCCTACATGATGGCTGCACCGTGTAGCTCGGTGTGTCAGCGTGGATGGCGTGTTCATGAGCCTATGTGATCGCTGCACCATGTAGCTCGGTGTGTCTGCGTGGACGGCGTGTCCACGACCCTACGACCCTACGTGATGGCTGTACCACGTAGCTCGATGTGTCAGGGTGGACAGGTACCAAAACATCAGCGAGTGCAGGAAGGGCCCCTTCCTGGGGAGGATTCCTGGGGTCCTTAGGCTGGCCTGCACTTTCCTTAGTGCCCTCGGGCAGACCTGGCAGCCTGCCCCAGTATTTCCTTGGCATAAATGGGGGTGAGACAATACCAGTCTGAAGGAGCGATCTCACTGTAACGACCCCCAGTGCCTCACACCGCCGTCGCCGGTAGGCAGCCTGCAGAGTCGCTCCGGCCCCGCTATCACTACGTATGTCGTGCGTTTTCCGTTACTGTCCCCAGGCCCACCTACACTTCAGATGCTTACCTCTGTGGTCTTTATAGAAAATGCGACTGTTGGCACAGGAGTCAGGATGAGCGTCCCCGAACCCGGGACCATGAGAGCAGAGAGGAGGCGAGGCGGCCTCACACAGCTGCACCTTCTCCTGGATCTGAGCTCGCAACGCTTCTATGTATCTACGAAACAGTGCCGACAGGCAGGTGAGCGTCTGGGAGGACAGTGAGTATGGGCCCTGATCTCATATAACTGGCTGTGGCTGTCTGCCTCTGTCCTTCCTCTTTGGCTAGAAACAGTGCTGGGAAAAACGCAGTGCTGTTTCCAAGGGGTATCAGGCAATCGAGAAAGCTGGAGACGTTATGAACCCTGAAATGAGGAAAAGTGTGACAAGACACAGTAAAATGTCTTTAGAAACATCAGCACACCACTGTGCGAGGCCCCGCTACAGCCGAGATTCTCTGCAGGGCTTTCCAAGTACCGTAGGCTCTCTTGTTCTCTCTGCTGCTGTTTTTCTCTGGCTCCTTTTACTTCTTCAGGCTGTGGCAGGGCTACGATCTCACTCATGCTCCCTCCTGAGCACAAGTCTCTGTGATAGCTCATTCTCAGGGCCCTCTGCTCCTCAGTGCCATGGTGTAGCTCGTGCTCTGTCTTCTTAATTCTGAGGATAAAATCACAACATCAGGGATCTGTAAAACTGCTGCTAACATCGGTTTTGACCACGAGGAGTCCCCAGCAGCAAGGAGGCTGGAGGTCAGCTGAATACCAAAAAGGTCCTCCAGCTTCCGGCTGCAGTGTGAGCTCACCACGGCTCATGCACACACAGCTGCCAGCAGGGAGAAAGAGCCAGGCTGTCGTGGCCTGGGCTCAGTGAAAGTCCAGCACGAAAGCTTCATGTGCGAGGGAGGAACTTCCCTCCCGGCCAGACTTGTCCCCAACACCCAAACAACCAAAGTAATAATAATAATAAAGAAGTAAACAAATCAAACAAAATACAAGAAACAATCATTTCAAAACACTAAAATCAGTCAACAGAAGACAACGGTCCCTGGCTGAGGCCGTGAGTACCAGAAGGCTAAACCAACCCAGGGCTCCTGAGTTGGAGAGACAGAGCCCAGCCCGCAGGGACGGCCTCCGTCGGGGCCCACTGCAGAGCACAGAGCTGCTCAGAGCGCCCGGAGAGGAGTGGGCCCTTCCGACTCGCAGCAGAGCGCCGAGCGCTGTCTGTGCAGGAGAGTACGGAGGAGGGCAGGGCAGTGCCTCTGCTCACCGGAGCCCGCTCCCGCAGCCGGCCTGAAGCACACCCAGTGCACAGGCCATGAGCTGGAGCCCTCAGAAAGGCCTCACCTCCCAGTGGGGAATAACGAGTCTGGCAGGAAGCATTGTTCTAGACCCACCTGACAACCTGTGAAAGCGATTCTCAAAGTAACTGAACTGCATCCCCAAAGCAAGCTCAAGAAACTCTGAGAAGATACAAAGAGACGCAGGAAACAGCACGGGGAAATGCACCACGACCAGCAGGGCACCAGCCGAGGGCGGGCAGGCACGCGAGGAGGCAGGAGCACAGCTCAGGGGAGGGCCGTCAGCCGACCAAGAGTGACCCACAATGTGTAGCTGTTAGTCTGCAGCAGACTGGGGCCAGCAGGTGACGTGTGGCTAGAGTGCTGGACTCCCACACGGCTGACAGTGGTTTGAGTCCCAGACCTGGTGGACTGCTTTCTCACTTTCCTTCTCTCTCTTTCTCTGGTATGAGCATATGCCGTACAGCAAACTGAAAAATAATAACAACAGTAAATAAAATGAAGTCTTTAAAAATATTAGCAGAGGACATTAAGCCAGTTATTTCACCATGTTTGTAGGAAGTCCAGGCCCCAGAGATACACTGGATTAGACCACCAGCAGGTCCCTTGGCTCCCAGCCATGTCTGACAGCAGTGACGGCAGGAACTATCCAGACTGAACCGCAGGCAAGAAACCCTAAATTCAAATTTTTCCTCTGCCCACCGGACAGATAAATATGGTTCCTTCTAGGGCCACCTGGCCAGTGGTGGTTGAGACTCTAGACTCCCATGTGGCCGACTGAGGTTCAAATTCTGGACCTGGCCGCTTGAAAATCACACCAGGCATGAGTATGTGCATGCCCACAATCCCAGGAGGGGACTGGAGGAGATGAGACTGCAGTGTGGCCATCTCCCAGGGTGAGCTCTCACTTTCCTTCACCGTCTCTGTCTCTCTGGGAGACATACCTGCCCTGTAGCAAAAAAACTATAAAAGAAGGCACCTTCCCACAGTTTGACGTGAGCTCACAATGATGAGCGAGACGGGGCAGGTTTCGTTTGACCAAGAGCCCACTGGGGCCACAGTGGGCACCGAGGACGCCCCGGGTGGGAAGGCTGCCAGTTCATGTCCGGGACCTCCCTGAGCCCGCCCGGTACACGTGCTCCCGTGATCTGGGCTGGTGGAGGCCAGGGGGTGGGGGCCGCAGTACCAGGGCCTGATGGAGGTGCCGGAACTCCATCTTGGTCTCTCACTCTCGCTCGTGAAATAAATAAACTTCTGTTTTCTGGTCTGTTTTGAAATTTTGCTGTAGAGACAGAGAGAGAGCGAGAGAGAGAGAGAGAGCGAGAGAGAGAGTGAGAGAGCAAGCAAGCACCTCTCTGAGAGGGATGGTCATACCACAGTCCCTTCTCCTCCACTCTCCTCTCCAGATTTTGGGCACACATGCACCAAGCGTGTTTTTCATGGTTCTGGGACTTGAACCATGTAGTTAGCCATGTGGGATCCAGCTGCCTTCTCCACTGGGCCACGGGCTGGCCCAGAGCCTTCTACACTTTAACGATAGTGGTGTAAATGCAGGGCCAGCAGGTGCAGTGGCAGTTACAACACTGGACCCCACGTGGCCCCTGAGCTGCTCGAGTCCTGGACCTGGTGGCTGGAAACTCACGCCTGGAGCATGTGTGTGCGTGTGTACCCGGGGTCTCGCTGAAATGGAGGAAGAGGAATTTCGGCACGGCATCCCCCTGGGGGATGACTTCTCTTTCTCACCCTCTCTGCCAAGCACACATGCCCTACAGCAAAACAAACCAAAAAGGTGAAGAGGAAAGTCACTATGTGCAAAGCTTTGACCTGATAAAGGGCTCGTATCCAAATCCTATCAAAGAGCTCTCAAAACTCGAGAAGGAGACCACCCGGTCTGAAAACCTGGGCTTGAACAGACCACAGACCCAGCATGCAGATGGCAGTACACAGCACTGCTCACCTCGCTGGCCACTTGGGGAACACACACAGTACACCTGAGACACAGCACACGTCTGTTCAAACAGCTGGAAGGAAAGACGAGGTTCAGTGCTGGCGGGGACATACAGGGACGGAAACACCTCACGCACTGCTGGCGGAGTACAGAGCGGCAGGCTGGCATAGCGACTACACGACTCAGCCGTCCCGCTCCCAGGTACTGACCCCAGAGCAAAGGTGATGGTACCCATTCGGAGACTTGTACACCTGCTCTTTCCAGCTGTAGTTAACAGCCAGAGCCCAGAAATGACCCAGCAGTCCTCCAGGCTATGAATGGATGAACAGCTGACAGCACGTGCATGCAACAGAATCCTACCCCAGCAGCGAGTGAGCTCGAGCCACAGCAGGGCATGGCGAGTACACGGGGTGACCCCACTTCAAACAGGACGGGCAGCAGCCCACGGTGACAGAGAGCAGACGGGTCACTGGGGAGCGATGGGAGGTGAGGCTACCAGGGCCTCCAGGAAGCTTTTGGGGATGACGGACATGCTTAGCATCTTGACTCTGGTGGTGGTCTCATGTATGTCTGCAAATGTCCTGTTAAATTTTATACTTCAAACGCGGGTGGTCTCTTGTCATCAATTACACCTATTTTAAAATGTTTCCATTTAAGGGACCAACAGATGGCGTAATGGCTACATCACTTAACTAGGGCAGAGGGGAGCAGAGGAGAAAGGATTACGACGTGGCCATCTCCCCAGGGGATGATTTCTCACTGCCTATGTCTCTGTCTCTCCAGTGAGCACATATCCCCTATGGCAAAAATCTCTCTTAAAAAAAAAAATTATCATTTAAATCAGTAAAGAAACGAGCAAAATCAGTAAAGAAATGAGAAAAATCATCAAAAAAAAAATGGTTTCTGTTAAGAAACATACTGGGGGACCAGCAGGTGGCATGGCGGTTAGGGCACTGGATTCCCACATGGCTGACTGAGGTTTAAGTCCTGGGCCCAACACGTGTGCACGCATGCCCAAAACCCTGAGGGGGACGGAGAAGGGACTGTGGTGTGGCTGCCCCCGGGGCTGATTTCTTGCCTCCTCTCTGCTGGACTTGAGGCTGACTCACAGGCACATGCTGCTGAGGCCAGCCAGAGTCGCTCGGAACGAGTGAGCTACGGTCACACTCACAGCCCCTCAGCAATGCACAGGCACTGGCCCCGGCTTCACCTGCCTGCAGCAGGCGACTGACTTCAGGGGAGCTACACTCTCCCTCGTGCAAGTCAGAAAACAGGACGCCGTGCCACAAAAGGCTAGAAGAGCAGGAACTGGACAAGCAGACAGAACTGGCCGCTGTGCAGCCCAGTCTGCTCAGAGACTGGCCCTCGCAGAGTGACGAGGCCACTGCACACACGCCCCGCAGCCGTCCTCCCACACTGGCCAGAGCACAGGGCACAGTCTCCGCGGTGCGATCCAGACTCAAAGGCCCCCGGAAGGCTGAAATAGGGCAGAGCTGAGAAAGCTCCTACTCCAGCTCGGGCAAAAGGGCACGTTCACACCAGGAAGAGCGAGACCAAAAGGCACATGAGGCGGAGCGCGCTCGGGGCAGGCGCCTGCTCTCAGGTGTCACCTCCCTCTCCCTCTTTTTTTTTTTTTTTTTTGACAGGTTTTTGCCATAGGGTGCATGTGCTCGCCAGAGAGAGAGACAGAGAGACAGAAAGTGAGAAATCACCCCCCAGGGGGGATGGCCACGCCGCAATCCCTTCTCCTCCATTCTCCTCTCGGGATCTTGGGCACACACGCACACATGCCCGGCGTGAGTTTTAAGCCACCGGGTCCGGGACGCGAACCGTGGTCGATTACGTGGGAGTCCAGGAACATAGCCATTACGCTAACTGCTGGTCCCCTCACCTTGCTCTCTCCAAGTCAAACGTGGAAGGGGCCAGTCCTGCAGTGTAGTGGGTGAGCACTGTGGGCTGGGAGCAGGCTCCCCCACGCCAACAATGGTTCGAACCCCAGCCTCGGCAGCTTGAGGAGCACGCTGGGCACGTGAGTACGCGTGTCCAAGAGCCAGACGCACAGAGAGGAGAAGGGTTGTGCAAGACCCCCATCATGGGGACTTCTGCCGGTGCACACGCTCGCTCGCACTCTCGCTCTCTCTCCCCCTGACAAGTGCATGTGCCCTCTGGCAAAAAAAAAAAAAAAAAAAAAAAAGCTGAAGCTTAAAAAAAAAGTGCAGGGCTTACAGTGTGGCCTGGGTGGTTAAGGCATCTGGATCCTGCAGGGCCTACTGTGTGCTTCAAGTCCCAGACCTGACGCGTGAGGAGTGCCACGTGTGGGTGTGTGCCCGAAACCTCGGGGAGGGAGGGTGGGGACGGGGCTGTGGAGTGTGGCCCCCATGGGGCCCCTTACCTGCCCTCTCTGGCAAGTGC